CGAAAGAATGAATAGCAAATGGAAAGAATTTGATTGAGATCATAAAACGATTGATGTTAGACCACCTTTGGATAACTGAAAGCACTGGACGGCCGTTTTGTCCTATTGTGGGACTCCTGAGCAGTGCGCATCCACAATCCCGCCTGCGGGATTCGAACTCGCGAGAGTAGGTTGGAGAATCGTAGTAGGCAGCCTATGCTCCTTCCAAGAGGTAACAGGAGTAAGTAAGTAAGAATAAAGACTAGCATATGTTGGTCTTGAACATATAGTTTTGGTTTGAATAAACAAATTCTCTATAGGACATAAGTTGTTGAATTGTGTTCATTTTGAACTGCGAATTCCCGGTACTTTATTATGTAATTCTATCCCTAATTTTTAATTGACCACCTTATTTATTAAAATACTATCAGTATAACTGTACAACTTGTATAAATGATATTATCGAAAAGAAAATTATTATAACTTGTGCCCTGTATTCTATTAATGTATAATGTAATGATACTGCCAATTAGAAAACAGTGATTTATCAATCGAACCAACGACGCATAAACCTGTAGAAGTAGTCTAGAGTTTTTTTATAGGTTCTGCTTCCTGTCTATCCCTGCCCGTTAAGTCCAGAACACCAATCTCAGCCTCTGCGATATCAATCATTTGTTTCAAACATACTGGGTTTATATACAAACCAAACAGAACACACCGTACCATAAAATGGAAAACAACATTTGTACAAGATTTGGCCAAATGTGGTTGTGAATATGGGAGATAGTAATTGATACACTTAACATAACTCAGGAATGGTAAATCGCATAATAATAGTTTATAGGTCAAAATAAAGCCTATAGTAAGTGGAACACGAATATGAATAGTTTAGTTACTTAACAATTATACGATAAAAAATGTACGTATACTATTAACCCAGAAATAGATCCTAATAGTTCTCCTTCATTATTCTCATCAGGATATAACAAAAATTTTCTTCACTGAGTTGTTGTATTTTTTATCTCTTAAACAAATTATATTATTTAAAGTGAATGAATTTGTTGAAGTAGAATACACAGTATTAAACAATGAAGTAATTTGCTTGTTTGTTTTTACAATACAGTTAGTTAAAGATACCAAATGCGCTGATGCAGAAACTAGGAGTATTAATATAAATGATCAATCACGAACTGTTCATAAAAAGAACAGGAAAAAAACACAGTTATTCTTTGTCTTCATTACGCTTTAATGAACTATGAGTATGAAAAGACACATCACATCTTATAAATAAGATGAAAGGTGTTCATATTTTGGAGGGTTTAGGTTATTATTGACTGAGTTTTAATAATATAAATAAAAATCATACCTGTTGAATGAGTTAATTAGTGTACATTCAAACTAAGAAGTCCAAAAGATAACGTAATGTGTATTCGAAACGAAAGATACTGGCTTTGTGTTTCATTGTGAATATCAACAATGGGGTACCGATTCGTCCAGATGATAATTTATTTTATATACAATGAATGATATTGAAAAGTATGTCGGATTATATAAGATTGTAGTGTCAGTCATTATTTTAAGCCCATATATCTTATATTCTAGTTTTCGGACATTCTATTTTATTCATTCTACTTGAGTCATATTTTGACCTTGTCAATTATTCACTTATCAGTCTTGACTGTTTTTATATATGAGCGTATATGTGTGAACACTTCATGTCCCATGACTCATCACATGTCTGTAGCTTTATTTTGTCTGTCTATAAATATTGAGTAACGCGTGTGTCATTTTTGCTTTGCTGTGCTTCATTCACTTCATGTACGAAATATATGTATTCTCAAGTCAATTCTCGTTATTCGACTTATTTAATTCCGTTATTGGCTAACGCGATCTAAGTCGACGATGATATACGAGAATAGGTGATAGCAAACACTCATACGATCTAAACAGAAGTCAGATTAACGGGCCGCCACAAGATAATAGTTGAATAGTACATTTAAGGAGTGATAATCATAGATAAACATAGTACAATTCTGTTTGGTGTTAATAAATATGGGTAGATATATCAATTAGATAGAAAAGAAAGTATCAATTTGCATGAAAAACTAACACTTCACTTCACTTACGCCTGTTAATCCTAATGGAGCATAGGCCGCCAACCAGAATTCTCCAACTCACTCTGCCCTGGGACTTCTTTTCAAGTTCCATTCAATTCTTGTTCATTTTTCTCATGTCTATCTCCATTTCTCGGCGTAATGTGTTCTTTGATCTTCCTCTCCTCCTCATTTGGCATTGAGGATTCCATGTGAGGGCTTGTCTTGTGATGCAGTTGAGTGCTTTCCTCAATGTGTGTCCTATCCACTTCCAGCTCTTCTTCCTGAATTCTTCCTCCACTGGGATCTGGTTTGTTCTCTCCCACAGTAGGTTGTTGCCAATAGTATTCGTTTAACGGATCCGAAGTATTTTGCGTAGACAACTGTTAATAAACACCTTTATCTTCTAGATGATGGCTTTCTTAGTTCTCCAGGTTTCCGCACCATACAGTAGAACTGTCTTGACTCCACCTGGAGTCCCTCCGGGGGCCAATACCTGTCTCAAGCCTGGATAAAGGAGGAGGGTCGGGCATGGGGTTAGCGACCGAATAACGTAGAAAACTAACTCGCTAAAAAACGCTAACCAGAGAAAAAATTATTCGCATGAAAAACTAATTATCTTAGATATTGTCTGTAAAATAATTTTTAAAAAATTGGTGTTAGCTTTTCTAGGATAGTAAATACTGAATTTGTGGTTCATATTTTTCATGTACAAAATGAAATAGAGTTGTTCATTTTTTTCAATCAGACTTAGCAACGTTATTGTATTTCCAAAACAAATAGCCACTTTTAAAAACACAGGTTTTTTAAAGGAAGAACTGATAAACACACATGAATAAGATTATAATCAATGAAGAAACATATATATTACTAGTTTTGTTGAAGTCATAAACCTATTCAATTTAGACAACCATTAATAACCAGGATGCATTGGACAACTGTTTTGTTCTAGCATGAGACTTCTCCGTAGAAGGTATCTACGACCCTGCAATTATGAACCTAACACAGTACCATTATTCGCTCTCGATTGCTTAACCTTCAGACAATTTAGTCAATGTTCAATGGTAAAGATGAATAACTGCGATCAACACACAATATTGTATAACCATCTTAATAGTAATTTAATTGTTGAATTCATGAGTCAGTTGAAACTAGACCACCGTGGAAAACCTGCAAGCATTGGACATCCGTTTCTTCCCAATATGAGACTCCTCAGCCGTGCGCATCCACGATCCCGCCTCGTGAGACTCCAACCTATGACCTATCATTTTCGTATGCCACTGTCCACCATTGTCATCAGTGAGTTACTATCTCACAACTGACTCGGTTGAATTCTACTGGTCACAGCTTCTCACTAGAACTCCAAGAAGTACCTGTTGGAGACTGTTACTAATGAGTATATGATAATAATTATGATCATGATCTTAATAGTTTTTATTGTAATTACATATATTCTTCAGTTCATAGTTAAACTGTACTTCTACTTTCTAAATTCTCAAAAATCTTCAATCACGAATGTTTCAAATGACGAAAAGATATAAACTCATTCATTTCAGAATAAAACTAAAATAGCTCTAGTTTAAATTCATTATTCAGACTGGCTTACACATTAATAAATAATTCGTCACACCTTTCGTATATTCACTCAAATCTGTCATCCAAAATGATGTATTTGGATATTATTGTTTTAAAATGAATCTAAAAGCCAATAATTTTTTTAGTGATCACCTTGATTGTATGAATAAGTTCTAGTAACCATACAATCACTACTTTAGATGCAAGTATGAACATGGTTTACAGGCAAAGGTGAATTTTATTCCAGAATGGTATATCTTTATATTCATATGTAACGGTTGTTTGAATCTTATCATTGATATTTAGAGTAGTAATTATTCAGTCTTTTTAGAATATGTGCATTCTGTGCGGATTGCTTCTATTTGCCATTAAATCACAAGAATTGTAATCAGAGTTAGATGTTGGATAGCAATAGGATTCAATAATACGTATTACTTCTTATTTAGCACTCGTTAACTGAATGTACCTGTACTCCAGAATTAATGTTCACTTCAGGACTCGAACCTAATACCGAACGCCTCAAACACCATCATGTCATCCACCTAGTTACGGAGTAAAGCACTGAGTCCATGTCTCGAAGTGAACATCAACTTTTGGATATAGTCACATTCGGCTAAGTATTACCAAATAAGAAGAAACGTAGATCATGGACTTTACTTTTAGCCACCATCTATCACTGCATATGTCTTTCTGTATTTGAGTGAAAAATATGTGAATCTAGACAGATTGAACACATATTTCGATAACACTTAAACAAAACACTACTTTTTTATTACTTACAACCATACACCCAAAATTTACTGTTAAAAGTGAGGTAAGAACCATGGTCATTTTATTGTCAGCCCACATTTGAATTCATTCAGGCACCAAAAGATAAAATATCTGCGTTTCATTTTATCACTGTCATTATCAATGTTCTAGTGAACGAGAACACGAATAGGAACAATCGAATGTATTCGAACACAAAATTCCAGAACATCTCTGAGAACTTTACAGTAAATGCTTAATTTGCAAAATATCAATCCATTGTCTCAAACCTGACTGTTTCCTTTGCAAATATCAGTCCATCATCTCAGATTTCATTGTTCCTGCATTTTCATACCAATTGTTTTTCGTTCCCATTCTTTCCTTCTGGATCTACTAAAATACATTCTATTCCTGACTATCATTATATACTACTTTTATGAATATAAGTAGCACACATTACAATATATATAGTATTTACCTACAAAATTTATTTGCATCACACTTGTTTACACTTATTTTCTTCTTAACTTCCCTTCTTTTTTGTCTACTTAACATAACCATATGGTTTATTATGTGTTGAATTTTCGTTTGTTTGTTTTTTTTTAGTTTATTAATTTAGCAAGTAAATTTATTGGGATATTTAATCTTGTTTTATTACTTCTACTACTTGGACATTGGAATGCTTGTTTACAATTTCTTATACCAATGTTACATGATTATCCAGTAGAAAGTTGGGTAGCTAAAGGTAAACTACAAGTAAGTAATAATGTTATATTATCTAAACAATTTAATGTCATTCATTAAAATTACAGTTTATTAATGAATAATCATGTTAATATGATTACGTAACATCATACTAAGTAATATTACATATTAGATAAGGTTTTGTGAATATTATGGTAATTCATATAGCTGAAATCATGAGTCAATTGAAGCTAGATCACTATGGAAAACCTGGAAGCACTGTGGGACACCTTAGCAGTGCGCATCCCGATCCCACCTTGCGAGATTCTAGCTTCAATTGATTCATGATTTTAACTATTAAAATTAGCATTACATAGATGAGATAATAGAATGCTACATAACTTCGTATCAATATGTGTAAATGAATAAAATAAACGATTAATGTAACACTATTTAAATAAGAAAGATTAGTTCAGCGAAGAGTTCTCTTTTCGGCGAATTCATTTTCAAAGCTGTACAATCGCAAATATATATATATACTTATTTTTACAGGATGATAATAATACTGATAATAAACTTCTGTTATACATGGTGACAGTGAGGTTAAATAAGCAAAGATATTAGGAAAAAATTTTAAAACAAGGAAAGTTTATTAATCGTTTGATTGTTAATGGCTTAGGTATTCATCGGGTAAGGATGGCTCAGTATGATAAAATAAAATGTTGAAACAGAGATGAAATGTAATCGGAATGATCGTGGAGATAAAAACAAACCAGTTGGGGGTAGAAGATTTAAAGGGAAGATAGAAGGTGAAGCAGATGGCTGTAAATGAACAAGAGTACGAAAAAGAGTGAACAATCTAATACATTAAGACCATGGTAGAAGGAGAGGTTGTACCAGTCTCTTTTGCACACACAATTCTGGTTTTTCCAGATGTATGGCTATTGCTTCGGCAATGCAAAGAAGATGCAGTCTAATTGTATTAGGAAGACTTCTACTTACCTTGTCGATGACTTTGAACGCAGAATCTGTCTTGATTGAGTGACCTGTTTTCACAATGTGTTCGATGATAGAACTTCTTACTGAGCCGTTACCTCTTTTTAGCCACGCCGGATAATGTTCTTGAATTCTTTTGGATAAAGTACGCATCGAACGACCTATATACCTAGCTCCACAAGAGCAGGTAAATTGGTGAATGCACATTGAGTTGGTCAGATGCGATAATTTATCGTTCAGATTATTATCAGTATTATTATCATCCTGTAAAAATAAGTATATATATATTTGCGATTGTACAGCATTGAAAATGAATTCGCCGAAAAGAGAACTCTTCGCTGAACTAATCTTTCTTATTTAATGTCTTAATGGGTGTATTCCGTTTATTAAAAAATTCCAATAACACTATTTGACTGACAAAGTAATAAATGTCAATAGATGAAGTAACTACATGTTTTTTGTGTCAGTAAATGAATGTGCAGATATCGCTTGAAATTAAATGGGAACGAATGAATAAAATAATATCAACAGGATACTAATAGCAAATAGGAGAAAAAAGCACTTTTCAAGTATATAATTTTCATAGATTAAACGGCAGACTGACCTTAGAAACCAGGAAAGACCTGACGGCTATTTCGCCTTGTTATGAAACTTCTCAATAGTACACATCGACAATACCACCGGGAATCGAACATGAGACCTTCGGTCTCGCGAGCGAATGCTTAACCTATAGACCACTTAATTGGAATCTGGTGATGTACAGACATAACTTTAATCAGTTGGTGATTTTGTGCAATCATCTTCATATTTATATATTTTCAACACTTTTGTTATGTAGTTAATTGTTAATTAGTTAATTAGTCAGTTACTTATAGATGATTGTTCAGTAGCTTGGGTTACACATCAGATTAACTAACTGAAATAAATTTTTAGTGGTGAGTTACAAAAGAGTTGTCATGATAGCAAGAAAAACACGTTTTAACCAGTCAGAAGGTATTAGCCTTTATTTATAATAGGAAACAAAGAAAATTACTGACAAGATATTGCTTTTACATTATTAGGGAACTTTTCGAAGTTTTCTATGGATTCTCTAACTTTAATATCCCAAACCTAAAATTCTAACATTAACATCTTAACTAATTGATCTCGTGTTTCTATACATACATTTAGGGAAGTTTCTTCACGACATTCACATATAAGTGCTTTTTAATATTTTGTAAATATCTTATCATATTATCCTCGCTCAGTCAGTCAGTCAGCTGCAACGTAGGACCAGGCACATATATGCATCAGTCCATACCTCATTAACACAAAAAGATGAACACCGGATTCATAAAAGTAGTTAATTCAAAGGTGGTAATATATAAAAGAAATATTGTAATAAGGATATAACACAAAGAAAGAATTAGTTCGGGGAATGAAGGATATGAGACGATTTTAATCTCTTAGTTTAAGGGAAGACAGAGAGTGTATACACCGACACCACTGTGATCGATTCTGAGCCATGTCACCAAGAGTCTCCAACCATTGGCTAAGATAGTCACGCGGACCCCAACCAAGTATTCTGCATCTACCAACATCGCTCAGACCACAAAATAGTGACTTCAAGCACTGACGCCATGTTTTAGTTTCGCCAACCCTAATTTTCTTCCAATCATCACCAACACTGGTTAGCATTACACGCCGTGGTACTCAGTGTTCAGGCATACGTGATATTGACCCAATCATCTCAGTCGATGAAGATCCACAATCTCTTAAACTAATTTACCATCATTCCCTAATACCCTACGTCTAACCTCACTGTTACTTACCCGGTGATCCCAACAGATGCCAGCAATATTTCTAAGGCATCTGTGGTCAAATATTAGTGGCTTACGAATATCTTCTACTCTTAGTGGCCATGTTTTGCAGCTGTAAAATACAACGGAATGGACTGCCGCGCAGTATACTCGTCCTTTTATTGATAAACGGATATCTCGCCTTCGCCATAGGTGACGTAAGTTGGCGAAAGCCAAACGAGCTTTTCGAATCCGTGCTGAGATTTCGTCGGACACCGACCCATTAGGTGTAATCAGACTTCCAAGATAAGCGAAGTTGTCAACGCGTTGTCACAATGCGATAAGCCGTTATATTCATGCTACCCAATTTTAGCCAAATGGTAGAGTTTATCAGTATATATGCCGCGACGTTGAAGCCTCTTACTCATTCCTGAATGGTTGTATGGCAATCCGTAAGTTACCCCCATTCACCTAGAACCTTAGGATAAGATTGTATTCAACCTTTCAAATTTTTTCCCATCATATATTACCTCTTATTATTAGAAGTTGAACTTAATAGAGGATATTACCATACATATTTTTTCTTTAATATTTATTTAACAGAATGCTTATTGGTTTGATCAATACACTTGGGCTTTGTTTAAAGCTATGTCGCATATGTTAACTATTGGTTATGGAAGATATCCACCTACCAGTTTAAGTGAAGCATGGGTTACAGTGATAAGTATGGTTACTGGAGCTACTGGATATGCTTTATTTGTCGGTCATGCGGCAGCGTTAATACAATCATTTGATTGTTCAAAACGTCTTTACAGAGAGAAAGTAATTTTAATATTGTTTTTATCATATAATCTTGAATAAATGTAATATACAACTTCATTTCAGTATGTTTAAAATGTTTAAATTACTACTGTAGTTTTAAATGAGAGATAGTCATTAGTAGTGAAAGAGAACATGAGTGAGGATAACCGATTATATTTAGCACAAAATTACAGAGCTACTTGATAAAATAGAAAAACTATACTCCAATACTTCATTACTTGTCTCAGACGTCATTGTTCTTGCGTTTCCATAATAATTGCTTTTTGTTCCCATTCTTGCCTCCTCGATATTTTCAACCTTTTGCTACCAGGCATTCTATTACTAATTGCTGTTATGTACTACTGATGTCGACATAAGTGGCACATACCTCAGTTTAATACACAAATTACTTACATATTTCAATGCATTTCAACTTACTTTACTTACTTAATTACACCTGTTACTCCCAATGGAGCATAGGCCACTGACCAGCATTCTTCAACACACTCTGTCCTGGGCCTTCTTTTCTAGTTCCATCCAATTCTTGTTCATTTTTCTCATGTCTATCTCCATTTCCCGGCGTCATGTATTCTTTGGTCTTCCTCTCCTCCTCCGATTTGGCCCTGAGGATTCCATGTGAGGGCTTGTCTTGTGATGCATTTGGGTGCTTTCCTCAACGTGTGTCCTATCCACTTACAGTGCTTCTTCCTGATTTCTTTCTCCGCTGGGATCTGGTTTGTTCTCTCTCATAGTTGGTTGTTGCTAATAGTGTCCGGCCGACGGATCCGAAGTATTTTGCGTAGACAACTGTTATTAAACACCTGTATTTTCTGGATGATGACCTTCGTAGTGCTCCAGGATTCATTTCAACTACTAATCAGTTTTTATCAAGTTTGAAACTTTCATAGAAAATTAGTCACTAATTAAATTATATGTATGGTGAAATACATTTTATTGCTATGTAGCTTCTTTTATCATCAGTTAATTTTAACACTGTAATATTTTGAACTAAGTGTAATTCTATGTACCTGAATTATATACATTAACAGAGAGATAGTTCACAAATAATTCCGATAGATGTATTCTAGCCTTATGTAAAGAGTTATGAAACAATATCGATCCAAACTTGTTGATTACTGACTTATGGATCAGTGAATATTTTAAATTACGACTATGATTCGTTATTCAGTTAATGAGAAGCAGCCAAAGGTTAGTTCAGATTAAATCCAACAGATTAGGATTTTCGATATTATAAAATTACTTACCAATATTAAGTGATTAAGTGTTTAAATTAACTCGCTGATACAAGCACATCCAGTTGATGAGTCTTAAATAAAATGAAATGCTATGTATACCAGTATAGGGTAGTGAAGATCATTGAGTTTAGTTTGAGATGATGAATCGATGAATGTTAGACAATCATTGAAAAACTTGAAGCACTAGATGGCCGTTTCGTTTTAGTATGAGGCTTCTCATCATCATGCATCCACGGGACTCGAACATGGGACCCTCAGTCACATAAAATACTTAACCTCGAGACCACTGAGTCAGGATGCAACAGTGTTAATGTCTATCTTTAACTAATCTACGATATTGTGCAATCCTCTTTTATTTCTTCAGTAATGTGTTGAATTATAAAATTACAATGAAATCATTGAAAATAGTTTTATTTTATAAATATTTAGTTTAAACAAGTGGATGAATATATGGCATATAGAAAACTTCCACGTGGTTTACGTAAACGTATTGCTAGTTATTATGAACATCGATATCAAGGGAAAATGTTTAATGAAAATGAAATTCTCAATGAACTTTCAGAATGTTTAAAAGAGGTAAATATAATTTTATTTCTTTTGTAAATGTTCATTTGACTAGGATTGTTATGACTTAAAACCCAGGTTGTTATTATGAAATTTTTTGGCCAATCGAAATACGACTGTGCGAAACTAATGACGTTTGACCGGTATGAACAGTCTAGCCTCCTTATTGGTCCTTTGTTCGTCAAGCTTGTTCAGTTGAGTCCAAAACACCAATAACAATCTTCCACTATACGAATTATTTATTTCAAACATACTTGGTTTATATACCAGGCCAAATGAACCGCATCACATTATAAAATAGGAAATAACATTTATACAAGATCAACCCAAAAAGTGGCTGTGAACGTGGGATACTGTAATCAATAAACTGAACATAACTTATGAACAGTAAATCGTATAAAATAATCTATATGTCAGAATGAAGCATATAATAAGAGGAATATAGATAAATATAGTCCAATTACTTAGTAGTTATACAATAAAAATGTATAGATTACATCAATACATTAATGGGCCATCCAAATTGCTGCAGAAATGAGAAGATACAACCTAGAGGTACTTGGGATCAGTGAAACACATTGGACACAAGTTGGACAACAACGACTAACTACAGGAGAGCTCCTGTTATACTCCGGCCATGAAGAAGAAAATGCACCACATACACAAGGAGTTGCATTGATGCTGTCCAAACAAGCGCAAAATGCACTTATAGGATGGGAATCTCATGGACCAAGGATCATCAAAGCCTCGTTCAAAACAAAGAAAGAGGGCATTTCAATGAACATCATCCAATGCTATGCGCCTACCAACGACTACAATGAAGACGCTAAAGATCAATTCTACAATAGGCTGCAGTCAATCGTCGAGAAGTGCCCAACAAAGGACCTGACCATTCTGATGGGAGATTTCAACGCCAAGGTTGGAACGGACAACACTGGATATGAAGACATCATGGGACGACACGGACTGGGAGAAAGAAACGAAAATGGTGAGAGATTTGCAAATCTATGTGCCTTCAATAAGCTGGTCATAGGCGGCACCATATTCCCACATAAACGCATACACAAAACCACATGGACTTCACCGGATCACTCTACACAAAACCAAATCGACCATATTTGCATCAACAAAACGTTCAGGAGGACTATAGAGGACGTGAGAACCAAGAGAGGAGCTGATATAGCATCAGATCATCACTTGCTGGTCGCCAAGATGAAATTGAAACTCAAGAAGCACTGGACAACGGGGCGGACAATATCACAAAAGTTCAATACGGCCTTTCTTCAGGATACTAACAAACTCAACAAATTCAAGATAGTCCTCAGCAACAAGTTCCAGGCCTTTCATGATCTACTCAATGGAGAAGGAACTACTGTGGAGAGCAACTGGAAGGGGATCAAAGAGGCAATCACTTCAACATGTCATGAGGTCCTGGGTCACAAGAAGCACCACCACAAGGAATGGATCACTGTTGATACACTGGATAAGATTCAAGAAAGAAGGAACAAGAAGGCAGCAATCAATACCAGTCGAACAAGAGCAGAAAAAGCCAAGGCACAAGCTGAATACACGGAAATAAACAAACAAGTGAAGAGGAGCATCAGAACCGACAAACGTAAATATGTGGAAGATTTAGCAACGACGGCGGAAAAGGCTGCAAGAGAAGGAAACATGAGACAATTGTATGACACGACAAAGAAACTCTCTGGAAATCGCCGCAAACCAGAACGACCAGTGAAAAGCAAGGAAGGCAAGGTAATCACCAACATTGAAGAGCAACAAAACAGGTGGGTAGAACACTTCAAAGAACTCTTGAATCGACCAGCTCCACTGAACCCACCCAACATCGAAGCAGCACCCACGGACCTCCCAATCAATGTTGGCCCACCAACAATTGAAGAAATCAGCATGGCCATCAGACAAATCAAGAGTGGCAAAGCAGCAGGACCGGACAACATCCAGCAGAGGCACTAAAAGCAGACGTAGCGGCAACTGCAAGGATACTCCACATTCTCTTCAATAAGATTTGGGATGAGGAACAAGTACCAACAGACTGGAAAGAAGGACTTCTGATCAAAATACCGAAGAAAGGCGATCTCAGCAAGTGTGATAACTACAGGGGCATCACTCTTCTCTCAATACCGGGAAAAGTCTTCAACAGGGTATTGTTAAACAGGATGAAGGACTGCGTAGACGCCCAACTTCGTGACCAACAGGCAGGATTCCGTAAGGATAGATCGTGTACAGACCAAATCGCAACTCTACGGATCATTGTGGAACAATCAATTGAATGGAATTCATCACTCTACATCAACTTCATTGACTACGAAAAGGCATTTGATAGCGTGGACAGAACAACACTATGGAAACTTCTTCGACACTACGGCGTGCCTCAGAAGATAGTCAATATCATACAGAATTCATATGATGGATTACACTGCAAAATCGTGCATGGAGGACAGTTGACAAAGTCGTTCGAAGTGAAGACCGGTGTTAGGCAAGGTTGCTTACTCTCACCCTTTCTCTTTCTCCTGGTGATCGACTGGATCATGAAGACGTCAACGTCTGAAGGGAAGCACGGGATACAATGGACATCTAGGATGCAGTTGGATGATCTAGACTTCGCAGATGATCTGGCCCTTCTATCCCAAACGCAACAACAGATGCAGGAGAAGACGAACAGTGTGGCAGCAGCCTCAGCAGCAGTAGGTCTCAATATACACAAAGGGAAAAGCAGGATTCTCCGATACAACACAGAATGCACCAATCCAATCACAATTGACGGAGAAGATTTGGAAGATGTAAAAACCTTTACATATTTGGGCAGCATCATTGATGAACAGGGTGGATCTGATGCAGATGTGAAGGCGCGGATCGGCAAAGCAAGAGCAGCATATTTACAACTGAGGAACATCTGGAACTCAAAGCAACTGTCAACCAACACCAAGGTCAGGATTTTCAATACAAATGTCAAGACAGTTCTACTGTATGGGGCAGAAACCTGGAGAACTACGAAAGCCATCATCCAGAAAATACAGGTGTTTATTAACAGTTGTCTACGCAAAATACTTCAGATCCGTTGGCCGGACACTATTAGCAACAACGTACTGTGGGAGAGAACAAACCAGATCCCAGTGGAGGAAGAAATCAGGAAGAAGCGCTGGAAGTGGATAGGACACACATTGAGGAAAGCACCCAACTGCGTCACAAGACAAGCCCTCACATGGAATCCTCAAGGTCAAAGGAAAAGAGGAAGACCAAAGAACACATTACGCCGAGAAATGGAGATAGACATGAGAAAAATGAACAAGAATTGGATGGAACTAGAAAAGAAGGCTCAGGACAGAGTGTGTTGAAGAATGCTGGTCAGTGGCCTACGCTTCATTGGGAGTAACAGGTGTAAGTAAGTAGGTAAGTAAGGATATAACATTGAGATTTTGATTCAGTAGATGATATTAGTCCATTAATAGTTCTTAGAAGTTACCCGTAATTTAATGTTCACTGGAATAATATAACAACGAGACATATTTTTTCATTGTCTGTACAAATTTGTATTTGTTCTGTACTTAAGCAATAAGTACAATTACCTCTGAACTTTTTATTTCAACGATGACATATCAAAATTAATAGTCATTTAGTTGATTTTCAATCCAGCTTTATATGGATACTATAGAATAAGATTAATACAAAAACCCAAGTATTCGAATAAGTTAAATTCAAACATTTGATCTCAGGACATTTGGATACAACTAGGTGAAAGTAATAATCATACTATAGAATTAAGTTAAAAGAAAAACAAATTAGTGAGATTCATAAAATTACGTCCGAATATCACTGGTAAACTATCATTTACTTAGAACTTATGTGTTTGAGATTTTGATAGTATACCTTTCGGAATGCCTGGAAACGTTTTTATTAGATTGCAATAGGGAGTTAGAATGATTCCCTAAAGCTGGATTTCATCAGTCAGATATGTCTCCTATGTTTAGGGAATAAGTGACTATTTAGAGATTTTAACACGTGTTTTCTGTTATCACAACCAAAGATGTTAATATTTAGCTATTGATATGACGAATAACATTGTAACTAATGTATATTATATCATATACCGGTATGTATGAAAATTTCAAACACAAAAAGATTCGTCAGTAGAGATTGTTGAATTTCATTGACAACATGAAGCGATGAAAGTTAGACGAACATTAAATTTCTGGAAGCATTAGACAGCCGTTTCGTTCTAGTATGAAGCTTCGCAATAACGTGTATCCATGATCCCGAAAACAATATTTTAACAAAGGACCTTCATTCTCGCACACAAACACTTATTCTCTAGACCACTGAGCAGGTGTTAATGTCTAGCTTCAATCAATCCACGACATTGTGTGGTCATTTCGCATTGTCTTCAGTGAATATTAAAACACTTTATAAATCACTCAAAGATTATATAAAATGGTCTACAAAGTAATTAAGTTTAATCTGCCACATATCATCAAAGAATGACTTTATAAAGGGTGAGATAGAGAAAGATGATAGGCTTTGATGTATTTACTTTGATGTTTATTGGCTTTATCATCATGTCGATCACTTTTTTTTCACTTTAGCAGTTTATATTTGACTAGTAAAGGAACATTAACATTTTACAAAGCGTTATATCACCCTTAATAATAATCCGTTTTCTACTATCAAAGTAATACAATCTAAATAGAATCAAGTGTCTATTGTTATCTGAAATGCTTTTAGTGTTAATAAAATCAGTTCTTTTTCGTGTGCAAAATGTTACTGAATGATGTATGGATTAATAATAAGTAAACTAATATTGTTCATTCAAGTGTTATTTATTGATAAGGCCAAGATGTTCTAATCAAACTGTACTTTTTTTTTTAAATTAAACTAATATTGTTAAGAGGGAATGACTTAAATGTCTTCAATGGAGTAAGATTTCAAAATTTGATACCAATTCATAGTCGCCTAATAAGTAAACCTAAAGGAAACACTTTTATACAATATTTGATGCGCACTGCTGAGGAGTCCCACACTAGGACGAAACGGCCATCCAGTGCTTCCAGGTTTACCATGGTGGTCTAGCTTCAATTGACTGATTATTTCAATCAGTGAAATTTATAAAATCTCCACAAAAATCCCTTCTGATAATATTTGAATAGTTCATATAATAGACTGACTTTAACTCAATAATTATTGAATACCAGATAGCAGTGCACAAGTGTGGACAATCGAATGTACATGAACACAAAATTACAGAATATTCTAGTAAAATCTGAGGACCATATAGTGAATACGGTGAGATTATAATTTATGGACGACCTTTGAGCGACGCTAAAGTGACCTTGCGAGTGCCTACCTACTTACTAGGGCTAAATGAGGGTTATAAAGCATTTTGAAGAATAAGGGTTATGATTTACAATTGATGGTTGGGGTTAGGAATTAGATTTAAGGTTTTCATCATGAACTGACATCAGCTATAATGCCGAGACTCTATTTAGCCGAATGGGTGAATGAATTTCGCGCCAAAATCTAGGACTTGTCATCGTAAATCTGATTGGTTCGTCCATAAATCATAGTCTCGCCGTGAATACCTAATTTGTAAAATGTCAATCAATTGTCTCAAACTTGACTGTTCCTTTTGCAAATATTAGTCAGTCGTCTTAAACTTCAATGTTCCTGAATTCTCATACCAATTATTTTCTGCTACTATTCTTTCCTCCTCGATCTTCTTGACCATCTGCTGCCAGATATTTTATTCCTGATTTGCGTTATATACTACTTATGCTGATATAAGTAGCACACACCAGAGCAGAAGACCATCTACAATAATCTTACATAGTAATGGGCAATTCTGCCCTGATGACTTACTCTAAGAAAAATTGATGATGTTTTAGTAATAAATTATAACTGGTGGAATTTACCAATGTCAAGATTGAGACAGCTATCACAGATGTTGAAAATCATACAAAATAACTATTGACTGAGATTAGAAAAGTGTGCCAACAGATGTCCACTAGTTATTTTAAAGGTAACTTATTGATTCGGGTTATCAACTGACACTACTGATGAGTCCTATACTAGTGCTGTTAAAGTGACTATTTATTCTTCATAGACAACATGAGCTAAAATATAGTTTGGATTTTAAATACCAGAAACATTGGTTTTTCTAATAAATAAATTAATTGATCAAACGTCAAGCTGATGTGCATCGAATTAGTTTATAATCTGATTAGTACTGTTAACCTGGAAAACACTATTTTAGTATACTTTTGAAAATTAATTTACAGGCTACCGTTTATGGTGACTTAGTTATTCATTGAAATAATCAACAAATACAACTTTAGATTGATATCATGAATACAACAATGTTAGACCATCACTGAAAACCTGGAAGCCTTGGACAGCCGTTTCGCCGTAGTATGGGACTCCTCAGCAGTGCACACCCAAGATCCCGAACGCGGCACTCATGTCCAGGACCTCCGAAGTCGCGCACGGAAGCTTAACCTCTAGACCATTAAGCTGGCATATAACAGTGTTAATGTGTAACTTCAATCAATCCACGATTTATCATCACCGTTTACCATAGTTTTTAATGAATAACTACCTCATAACAGACATAGTTAAAGTCCACTGGTCACGTCAATTCATCAGAACTCCATGAAATCCATCTTGAAGCAGGTCACTAGTGAGCACATGAGGAGTCCCATACTAGGACGAAATGGCTATTCAGTGCTTCCAGGTTTTCAGTGCTGGTTTATCATTGACCCATTCATGATATCAATCTAAACTTAACAATCTCCACAACCTATACTGATAAACATAATTTTTTTTGTTTTCTACATTTAAGCAAATTATCAATTACAATTGTCGGGCATTAGTTGCTGCTGTACCATTTTTCACATTTGCTGACCAAAATTTTGTCTCAGAAGTAGTTGTTAAATTACGTTATGAAGTGTTTCAACCAGGTGATTTGATTATTAAAGAAGGTACAATTGGTACAAAAATGTATTTTATTCAAGAAGGTATAGTGGATATTGTTACAAGAGATGGTGAAGTAGCCACTAGTCTGTCAGATGGTTCATATTTTGGAGGTGAGTGTACATTTTTTAGGCATAACTTTAGACCTCATTGGTAGAGTTTAATTATTTTATTGTTATTAACTGACATTTGTGATTAGTCGTTCTTATGCGTATGTCAAATATTCATGTAACTCGATTAATAGAGCTTATTTGTACAGGTTTGTGTATTCGGCTTGAATTTTAATTGTTAACATAGAGCTAGTGATAGTATTAGAACACTCAAAACAGAGTAGGTAAAATGGGATACGAGTCTTGGACCTACTAGTAAAAGTCGAGCACTTTAACCATTAAACCACCGTTCCATAAATCTTCATTAAATTCATTATTAGCTTTCATATGGTAAAGTTACTACTACTTTAGAAGTGAATTTTGAATATTTGGTTAAGACTTTTAGCCGATTTTACTGTTTCTATGTATCAAATGTAGATTTAAATGAATTATTGGATAATCCAGCTTAATAATCACATGAAGTAACTACTCAAAAAGCTTGTAGATTTTGTAAAGTAATCTAAATTAGTTTAATAAGAAAAACATACAGTTGCATAACTGATATTCTCAAGAATTGGTTAGATAATTGTTATAACTTGTTGGCCTGTGTGCCCCGTTAATGTATAACGTATAATGTAACGATACCGCCAATTAGGGAGCAGTGACTTAATGATCGGATCAATGACACGTAAAACCGTATGAGTGATCTAGAGTTCTGATTGGCCCTGCTTCCTGTTTAGCCCAGCCAGTTAAGTCCAGAACACCAATCTCAGCCTCTGCAATATCAGTCATTTACTTCAAGCATACAGGGTTTATATACCAATCAAACAGACCAATAAAATAGGAAACAACATTTATACAAGATTTAGCCAAATGTGGCTGTGGATGTGGGAGGTAGTAATCAATAGACAGGGAATAATTCAAGAATGGTAAATCGTATAATAAAAGTTCATAGGTCAAAATAAAGCTCATAATAAGAGGAACATGAATATGCATAGTTTAGTTATTTAACAGTTTTACAGTAAAAATATACGTTTAGTACTAGTTCACAAATGGATCCCAAAAGTCACTATTCACTATGCTTATCGCGACATAACAATAATACATAAAAAATATATCTCATTCTTTAACTGACTACCAAAAATTACAGACATGCATTGATGAATCTCTATTAGTTAATGAGTTCTGGTATTGAATAGTGATTATATTTTTCAGTAGTTTGGAAGTAGTTTTAATTTATATGAGTGTATAATTCAATTCACATTGGCATGGTAAGCTAAATGGAATAAAAGTGGATTCATTCGATAAGTTCAAAAAAACAAAAGGCAAAAAGGAATAGGTATTGTGTATTGTCATAGGAATTTTCTTGAAGTAGTACTTTTTTAATTTAACGCCCTTGAGTTCTAGTGAGAAGCAGTGACCAATGGAGTTCAGCGGGGTCTGTTGTGAGATTGTAACTCACTGATGAGTGATAAGTCTTGCGGATTGAACGTTATATCCGTCTCCTAAGCTGTTCTCGTAACCCCCAAGCTAGAACTATACAGCGACCTGAACACGAGAGAGAAGACTCAAAGTATGCGAGAAGTAGTTTACTCCAAGATTCATTTTAATACAGAAAATACAGGGTTTTTATAATATTTTAAATGTACTTGGGTTGCTAGAAGATTCTGGAATGCTACTAAACATAGTAGCACTGTAGCAGCAACCAATCAGAGCCTCCGCATGCGACGTTTCACTTCCTTGATATTTTTGGCTAAGACTTCAAGTGAACTCTGATTGGATGAAACGCTTCTTAGTGTTTCCTGATGCTTGCTTGTCTTTTGCAAGGAATTTTCTGGATCACCCCAACAATGGCAATGGTGGACGGTGGTGCGCGAGACTGATAGGTCCTGTATTCGAATCTCACGAGGCGGGACCGCTCAGTTTAATGGATTAGTTGAAGTTAGACATTAACACCGTTGCATGCCGGCCAGCTCAGTGGTCTAGAGGTTAAGTGTTCACGCTCGAGGACGAAAGTCTTGGGTTCAAATCCCGCGTGTGGGATCGTGGATGCGCACTAGTGAGGAGTCCCACAATAGGATGAGACGGCTGTCCAGTGCTTTCAGATTTTCCATGGTGGTCTAGCTTCAATTGACTCATGATCTCAACTACTAAAATTATTTTAAAATTGTCAGATAATTTGTTTCATGTACATTGTTTGTACATTAAAATGGGTCCTTTTAAAAAATAAACACACTTTTTCTATTATAGAAATATGTCTATTGACAAATGCTCGCCGTGTGGCAAGTGTTCGAGCAGAGACATACTGTAATGTTTATTCATTAGATAGAGCAAGTTTTTTGGAAGTATTAGATAATTATCCATTAATGCGTAGAACTATGGAATCTGTTGCAGCTGAACGTTTAAATAAAATTGGACGTGATCCTTTAGTTGTCAGCAATCGTAAAGATTTGTATGATGATTTAAAACTAGTAAATGAAATAGTAAATCAGGTAAGAATTTTAAATTAAATTACTGAGTGTATTTTATTCTGAATGTCAAAGACATATCAGTATGTACAATTGATAAATCACCGACTAGTGATTAATGTTATGTTCGTCTAGTCTATATGACACAGCATTTTGTGAATTATGTTCAGTTGTCAGGTGGGTGAAGCTTAGAAGGTTATTATACCATAAAGTTGATGACAAATAAATTATTCAAATGAAATGAAATGACAATATGACTCTGATTTTGTGTTTAGATTATCCATCCAATTCTATCAAGCAACATTAAAGGATTAGATTGATACAACTAAGTGGTCAGTTAGTTGTATCCAACCACTTTACACGATCATATGTACATGAAATAACTACTGGACTCTATTCACAATATTTTCAAACATCTACTATGTGGGATTAGTAGAATTATATGTAATGTTTGGTTGAATTTAAAGATAATTTTTGATCATACTCATTATAGTGGGAAGAATGATCAAAAATTAAGATGAATCAGATAACCTTTTATTCTCAATTGAAGCATCTGATCATTGCGTACTCTACCTGAATTCAGGACCTTCAGTTTTTATAGTATACTTGATGCAATTAGATCAATATATAGAAATGGATACTTACATGTTTCATCATTTCTCAATGTATCATGGCGATTATTAAAGAAAAGAATTAAATTCCAACTCATCTTCCTAACTTGCTTACAAAAAAATATATTTGTGACGATGGCAAACGGGTGAACTCGAGGAAGGTGTAAGAAGCTCAGAGAGATGAAGATACTCCACCCAATCAGCTTTTGGAAGAATATTCCAGGATCACTATGTGTAGCTTCCCTATTGGACAAATGCCAAAAACCCACTGTATGCGGATTGAAGGACTATACCGATGATTTCATTTTTAGTAAAAAACTATAAGTACCTGGTAGTTTTGTACCATATTTGAAACTGCTTGGAATAGCGTTCCTTTGACTTGACTTCTGTCTTGTCATTTGCAACTTAGAAGGTTCTAGCATTTAAATACTCAAGTTATACTCGGTATATTAAGAGTCTAACGTGTAGATATAACAATAAATAATAAGTGTTTATTTACTATGTGTCTTATAAACCGATGGAATTCATGGTTGTTTCTGGCTTCTTCAGCTGTGGTCATACTAAATGGCGAACTCAGTAGTTTGAAAAAATCTATGATACTTCTTATTTTTTTCAAATACGATCACTTGATAATCAATAGTAACTACGAAATCTGATGGGACAATAATTAATAGACGACCTTTGAGCGACGCTAGATCGACCTTGAGAGTGTCCACCTAATACTTACTTACTTACGCCTGTTACTCCCAATGGAGCATAGGCCGCTGACCAGCAGTCTCCAACCCAATCTGTCCTGGGACTTCTTTCCAAGTTCCATTCAATTCTTGTTCATTTTTCTCATGTCTATCTCCATTTCCCCGCGTAATGTGTTCTTTGGTGTTCCTCTCCTCCTCCTCCTTTGGCCTTGAGGATTCCATGTGAGGGTTTGTCTTGTGATGCAGTTGAGTGCTTTCCTCAATGTGTATCCTATCCACTTCCAGAGCTTCTTCCTGATTTCTTTCTCCGCTAGGATGTGGTTTTTTCTCTCCCACAGTAGGTTGTTGCTAATAGTGTCCGGCCAATGGGTCTGAAGTATTTTGCGTAGACAATTGTTAATAAACACCTGTGTTTTCTGGATGATGGCTTTCATAGTTCTCCAGGTTTCTGCCTCAGTAGACAGTAGAACTGTCTTGATATTTGTATTGAAAATCCTGACCTTGATGTTGGTTGACAGTTGCTTTGAGTTCCAGATGTTCCTCAGTTGTAAATATGCTTCTCTTGCTTTGCCGATCCGTGCCTTCACATCTGCATCAGATCCACCATGTTCACCAATGATGCCGCCCAAATACATAAAGGTTTTTACATCTTCCAAATCTTCTCCGTCAATTGTGATTGGATTGGTGCGCTCTATGTTGTATCGGAGAATCCTGTTTTTCCCTTTGTGTGTCCACCTAATATCTAGGACCAAATGAGGGTCATAAACCAGTGCGAGGAATTAGAATCATGATTTACAATTGATGGTTAAGATTAGGAATTAGATTTAGGATTTTCATCACGAACTGTCATCAGCTATAATTCCAGAATTCTATTTAGACAATTTCGTTCCAAAATCCGAGACCTATTATCTTATACCTGATTGATTCGTCCATAAATTATAGTCTCACCGTGAAAAATAATCAACTCTCTATTGCTTTCTACTTTAAAATGATCTTAATTCAATCTCTTTTTTAAAAAAATTTTATATACAATATTGATGTGATATTTTAGGCTATTCGTGAAACAGATGATGTACAAATCGAAGGAGAAACAGAAGATAGCATTGATGAAGATGGTATTGATAATTGTAGAACTGGTGATAATATGAATACTACTACTAATGATCATATTAGTAGTCAATGTCGTAATAATCATAAACATAATCCTAATGAACGAAATTATCAATTATGTAAAAAAATTAATAAATTCTCACATCCAGTAAATTATTTTAAACGACGTAAATCATCACATTGGAATACATTATTATTACGTAAAAGTTCTGAACCTGAATGGTGGAATCATTCAACGAATAATCGATCTAGTACATCAACCTTATTCAATACAAATATACGTAAATGGTATCATATGAAACAAGGTAAATTAAATCATTCAAAAATCATTAAGAAAACTAAAAGTGTAGATCATTTAAATTTATTAAAAGTAACATCATTGAATTTAGCAAATAATTGGCAAATCACAAAATCAACACCGGTGAATGTAACAGTTTCTGTCATTCATGATCATGATCATTTATCATTGAAAGAGTCAACTATATCAAGTATACCAATTAAATTGAATGAACAAACTAATGAAAATGATCTTCCAATCAATAATCAATAGAAATAATCAATATATCAATATACTTTAGACAGTTATTATTATTATTATTATTATTACGTAATGTAATCCAATGAAATGGTCTATCTACAATAAAGAGATGCATTTACTTAACTATATCAAACATTCATTCAAATATCATTTGTGAATACTAAATGTGGAATTAGTAAATTATTATTATTTAAATAAACAATCTATTTCTTTACATACATTGATATCTCTTATGAAGATGTTTTAAGTTCAATGATTGAGATCATGAATTCATTGAAGATAGATCATTATGAAAAACTTGGAAATACTGGAAGGTCGTTTCGTTGTATTATGGGACTCTTTAGCAGTGTACATTCATGATCCTACAATAGGACGAAACGGCTCATGTAGTGTTTTCATGTTTTTTCATGATGGTTTATCTTCAATGGACTCATGATCTCAATCATTGAAATTACTGGAATATCCACAAACACTCTTCGAATATTTTAATGTATTTGTTCAGTGGTTGTGAAAGAGTCTAATTTGTTTATCATTATATATATATACATATACCTGTTGATTAAACAATCTATCCAATTAGATTATATTCTTATTGTTATCGTTGTCAATAGTTTATTATTCTTTTTGTCACAGTTTGTTTACTTTCTTTTTTTTCAACTCAGAACTGTGTGTTAGTACCATTGGTTAATTAATGTCACTTTGAAAGGGTATACTTTTCCCCGATCAGTACTAGTCACACAACTATCACAATCATTAAATATCTTTTATTTATCATGTAATTTCTCATTGAATAATCAATTGATTAAGGCAATTTCAACTAGATGAACATCGAATGCATACAACATTAATATTATATTTAGATTGGATTAAAGTGTTCAGTATTATTTATTGTTCAGTATAAACGTAATGAACGAGAATACAGTTGAAGACAATTGATTGTATTTTTGGTAAAATATAAAAACTATACACTAAAATACTTCATTTTCAAATTTTCATCATTTGTTCTTCACATTCTTTATAATTCTCCAAGTTCTACTGCCAGATTTTCCATTTCCGATTGGTGTTATAAACTACTTATATCTGTCAGCATAAGTAGCATGCATTACATAACAAGTATTAAGCATCTTTATTAACATCACGAAATAAACTTTGGCATAGTATTTATGTTTGCATCAAAATGATTATTAAAGTTAATAAAGAATAGATTTTTTCTAGTTCAAACGTTCTAACACAGTGATTAGTTAGATGCTTAAATTAGGTTTATTAGAAACTTGACAACAATTTGAAAATAATGATCAGATAGTAAACAGTTGGAAGCTTTATATTATTGATTAGTTCGTAAATGGATGAACAATTTGTGTTTATCGTTTGGATTCTCTGAAAAAGTTTTGCGTAAACTGATAAGTCATGTAGGTTGAACGCTATATACGATTCCTAAGCTATTCCGGTAACCGGCAGTTTAGAACTACACGGCGACTTGAACTCCAGAGACAAGACACAAGTATGAGAGAAAACACATTATTCCAAGGTTCGTTCTTGTACAGAAAATCAAGGGTATTTATAGATGTTGGCGTCTGTTAAATCAACATCATATTTCAGCCAATCCGTTAACGTTATATTATGCTACCGACCAATGATAGCACGCCACGCTGGAATTCTCGAACGTTCCATCATACTCTGATTGGCTAGGACTCTTCGGCTCCTTTTGGGCCTCTGGAGGCTCCGTTGAAGTTCTCTGGAAGCCGACCCAACATAAACTTACAGTTCATATTCATTTTGTATTGTTCGTTCGAATCTTCCCATAGATGTTTAAGACTGCAATTGATCAGTCTCTTATTGGAATATGTGCATACTGTGCGAATTGTTTCGGTATTGCCTTAATTTACAAGTATTATAAGCGAAGACGGATGGTAGCTAGCAGTTGGATCCAAAACGCGCATTTTATCCTATTTGAAACTCGTCATCTGGATGAAGTGAACGGTACTGGGTTTCAGACCCAGATTGAATATCAACACCGGGATGCACGTACATCCAGCTAGTGAGTTCCAAATAGGACAAAACGCGCGTCCTGGATTCTACACTAGTCACCATCTATCTTAACAATTAACAGTTTACAGTTATAATATTCTTTAGTTACGACATTTTGGTTAGTTATCAAAGTGAAAGTTAATCTATAAAAACGATTCATCTTATCTATAGTTAACTACAAAGTTTTTGATATATCAAATAAACACAGTATCTTCTCACTTATTTGAAGACTTATATAACCACATGTACCTTTTGAATATTAAATTACGTTCAATCTAATTGTTGGAAATCTAATAAAGTGTAAATTATCTCAAACAATCTGAGATTTTGTTTACAACTCTCTAGTACGTAATGATTAACAATCAACAACAACAAAAAAGCAACATTTTATTCACTTGATGTCGTTTACTTGTATCTCATCGAGTCCCAGAGTGAACATCAACTTTGAGATGCAGGTACATCCAGCTGACGAGTCACAAATAGGACAAAACGCGCGTCAAACTCGATTCCACCGCTAGCCACCATCTATCTTCGCTTAGAAAAGTTTTTTTTCAATGCTTTTAACAATTTTATCTTAAAATACCAAAAATATCCTTATAATTCCATATTATATGGTAGGTATAATCTCCTAATCATTATACACTCAAGTATTGAGTTTCAACCTCTTTATTGTAAAATACTTATATTGTAAATACATATCTAAATAACAGTGACTGACCATTGAACAATAATTCCTACCATATTTGCCTAGTCTTCATTGTCGATCATATTCTATTATTATTATTATTATTATTTGAACACATAAATATTGGTACAAGAGAGCGCCAATATATATGCGCCACACAAAACAATGAAAATTCGAAGAGAAATAGAAAGAAAAAAAACTAGGGAACGCAAAAGAAAAAGAGAACAATGACGAAGAGATTGGAGTAAGGTAGTGTGGTAGTAACGACGGAACGAAAAGGTACAATCAGAAGAAATCTTTCAGGTAAAGGAGACACAACCACTTTTTAGAAAGAAAGTAAAAGAAGGTTACAGCAGGATCGCCACTGGCTTCTATTCTGAGCCATATCTGATAACGTCTCTAGCCACTGTGTAGCACCATCTCTCGGACCCCAACCAGGGAGTCGTGAAGGACCAACACAAGCCAGTCCTTTGCAGCTTTCTTTCATGCCACGACACCATGTCATGCACTGACCACCTCTCCGCTTCTTCCAACCAGTCCCAGAGTCGGCAAATAATGCACGACGTGGAATTCTCTGGGACGACATTCGGAGAACATGTCCAAGCCACCGAAGTCGGTGTTTCAAGATGGTGACACCAATTGAGTTATCATCTCTGTGCCCGAACACACGATGCCGAACCTCTGCATTACTGACATGGTGTTGCCACTGAATGTCAGCAATCCTTCGGAGACAGCGATGATCGAACACAGAGAGTCGTCTAACGTCCTCAACTCGGAGAGGCCAGGTTTCACAAGCATAGAGCAAAACTGCTCTCACCGACGCGTTGTAGATCCGACCTTTTACAGCCAGACTAACATCACGAAGGCGCCAAAGGTGGCCCAGATTGGCATAAGCCGCTCTGGCTTTCACTATTCGTGCATTGATCTCATCACTCACACCCCCACCAGCACTTATGCAGCTACCCAGATACACGAACTTCTCAACTACGTCTATCTGCTCACCGTCCAGGGTGAGTACAGGATTAGAATCCTGCCAGTCTTGTAGAAGTACTTTGCACTTCGAAGGTGCAAAGCACATACCATACCTACGGACACTGATTGCCAACTGATTAAGTGCGGATTGCATGCCTTGGGCATTATCGCACAGTAAGACAATATCGTCCGCATACTCAAGGTCGAGAAGTCTTTCTCCAGGCAACAGATCCACACCACCATTACTTACATTCATCAGAGCTGTTTCCAGAATGTCATCGATGGCAAAGTTGAAGAGGAATGGTGAGATTGGGCAACCCTGCCTAACCCCACTGCTCGAATGGAACAATGGAGAGAGGTGGTTGTATGCCCTCACTCTGCCTGAGGTGTTTTTATACAGGGCTTTCAGGATGTTAATAAACTTCTCAGGCACACCCTTCTTCAATAGACAATCCCAGAGAACAGTCCTGTCCAACGAATCGAAGGCAGCCCTGATGTCAAGAAACACTACGATTGTTGGCCTTTGAAAAGTATGGCGGTGTTCTAACATTTGGCGGAGGGTGAAGATATGATCAATACATCCTCGACCAGAACGAAACCCAGCCTGCTCCTCGCGAGTCAATCTTTCTCGGGTTTTGAACAACCTACGAAGAATGACGGAAGCCAATAGCTTGGACGCAATCGGAAGTAAACTTATCCCCCGATAGTTGTTACAAGAACGACGTGAACCCTTTTTAAAGATAGGGACAACTATCGACTCATTCCATGACGTTGGTACACTCTCTAGTTCCCAAACCTTTGTAAACAACGTCGTCAATTCCTTAGTCAAAAAGTCACCACCATCTTTAAAAAGAGCCGGAGGTAAGTCATCTGGGCCAGGTGATTTGTAACGCTTCAAGAGTTGGAGTTCCTTGCGGACTTCCTCCTCATTTGGTGGATCAGTCGTCACCGGCCATGGAGGGCAGGACAGTCTGACCGATGTTGCCGGAGCAGCAGGCCAGTTGAACTGCCCTTCGAAAAATTCTGCCCATCGTCCAAGACGTCGATGGATGTTAGTGATTGGCATCCCATCATCCTCGCAGATTGTTTCACTCACACCAGACTTCTTGCTGCCAGTGGCTCGGATGAGCTGGAAGAGCTTCCGGTAGTTACCAGATGCAGCTGCTGCTTCCAGCTCATTAGCACGCATCGACCACCAGGCTTCTCGGTCCTTACGCAAGCTTTGCCCAATTTCCTTACGTAACATCCTTCGTTTATGGTCAAACTCACGGTCACCCGGAGTAGACCGACGGGCTTCAATGAGTTGTAAGGAACCAGAAGAAACCCA